AATGACGATTTTACCCCTGGGCTTTAAATGGCAACTCCAACTATGGATTATTACTAGGAGGCTACCTTCCAAATGGATCAAATTCATGAGGCCTGCGATGACAGACACTGCCTATCAGGGGAAATGTTTTTGGTGAGTTGGCTGACAGATGGGAAAGGGGTTGGGTCATGGTGTAGCACCCCCACACCCTAATCATTACATTTTTGTTTTTATTCTCATTGATATTACTCCACTGATACTTTCGAAAAACTAACTTCTAAACTGTTTGAAAAACTGGGTAATGGCCAGTCTTCCTCACAGAATTACCCAAGCATATTACCCCAAATAGGCCCAATCTGAATCTCCAAAAACAAAGTGGATGTGATGATGATATTTGAAGTGCTGAAAGAAACAACCCAAAAAATAAGATACAAAATGAGTTATTATTAAGGCTCAAAAAATCAATTTTTATCCGGATTTAACATCATAGTGGTCGAGATGATAAAAAACATTTGGATCAAAAGATGGGCTTTGGAAGGGTGGATTCCTTATAACGAGTACATTCGCAAATTGGTATGGGCTGCTCCTCCCTACTGAATTACCTAAAGAAAGGAAAATAACCTAGGCTTAATTGCTTAGCGCTTGACGATTTGCAATGCTACATTCTAGGCTTAATTTCTACCAAGGGTAAGGGCCCCCTCCCCACTGACATACCCAAAAAAAAGTACATTATCAAGCTTACAAACAAAATGTTCTCAAAATTTGTAGATCAATGCAAAAGAAATTATATTTTGTAGTGCAGACCGTCCATCTTTAAGTATGGGATTGTCAACAAAGAGACCATACTTTTGTAAAAGGAAGTCACAATCATTTTTGTCTTTTAAATTTCAAAATAGGTGGGTGTAAGATTGTAATTGAATGGACTCAAAGTTTCCAAAAAATAAAACTAGTTACTCACCCCAAGCTATCCATTTTGACACCTAAAGTATGGAATTAGGTGTGACCCTATAGTAATGATAAATGGTCTGGTCGTAAACAATTCCTTTAAGTATTTATAAAGGAAAATTGTTTCATGTGGGCTGGACGGCATTTCTACATATACTGTCCAAAAAGTGTAAAGCATCCATCTTAAAGATGGATGCAAGTAGGTGTTCCATCTAAAAACAATGGAAACTAACGGTCCAAACGTTTTCTTACTACAATTATTATTTCCAGTTTTTTAATTTTATTTATTTTTTCATATTCATGATCTCCATGTTAGAGGTTATAGTCCTGAAAAATTAAATCTTAAAATCCATCTAAAAAGTAAATTTATTAAGAGGTCCGCATTTCTACATATACTGGCCTGGCCGCATAGAAACTGGATCCATTTATGCGTAAGCTAGATTAAATGAAAACTACTATTGGAGCCTCAAATTTCAAAGGCAAAAATGGATTTTCAAGCTATTTATTTGTGGAGTTTTGAGGTGAGACTTCATTTCCTATCGAAGTTTAAAAAATTCTGGAGTGGTTTTCAAGAAGGGTATCAAAGTGACATTTGACCTTTATCAGGCCTTCCAAAAAATTATATAATTTTTTTCTCAAATTATATTTGATACACATGACAATGGAGAGCATGGCCATAATGAAAAAATGTTGGGCACCAAATAAACCAAACTCAAATATCCATTTGTGACCGTCCATTTTTACTATGATCTCCTTGCCTTGTCTAGTCAGAGATTCACTATACAATTAAGGATCTCCTTGCCTTGTACGAAAGTAAAAACCGTTAAATATTACAATTTAAAAAAAAATAAATGCATCATGGCAAATTAATAACCCTAGAAAGTAGGAACTGGATGGTTCTAGGAAAAGTAATATATGTATGCCAAGTTGTAATAATTCAAATCCTAAATGACGATAAAGTCAATTTTTTTAATGACATCCTTGCAGCACACTTTTTAGGACCCGTCATATTTTGGGAAGGGAAAAGTTTATATAAAGTTGTAACCTTAAATTGTAGAATCACATATGCACTTCAAAAATATTTTCGAAAATGTTGTTTTAATGTTAAAAAAACCTTCTAATCAATCGTCTCGACATCAAGATCTATGCATATGAAAAAAAAAGTGTTTGAATATCGAAATAGTGCATCTTGGAACATATTATCTAAACCGTCCATTTTCAAGATTTTTATATATTTATAGATCTACTTGATGTTAACCAATTTTGGAATTTAAAATTTTCTAATTAGGTATGAAAATATATTTTAAAATATTACTAATAATTTTACAAAAAAATTACATGTTATGATAAAATTTTAATGTGCACCTTAATTGGATTGGTTAAGGTTGCAACCTTATAGAAACCACACTTTTTTCTAAATTACACTACTAATCCTCAGCCATTTAAGTAGGGGTGAGGTTTGGATAAGGTTGCAACCTTAAATTAAGGCTCACCTCTAAATTTTATCATAAATATAATTTTGATGTAATTTTTTTTAGAATGATTTGAGAATCTATTTTTATTTCTAATTATAAAATTTTAGCTCTAAAAATGGTTCAAATTAAGTAGATCTATAAATACATGAAAAATGCTCGAAACCTTTTTTTCGTTTTCATATTCATAGATCTCGATGTTGAGATGATGACTTAGAAGATTTTCCAACATCCAAACAACCTTTTATGATGGATTTTTGAGGTGCATCTTTAATTCTACATTTTAAAGTTGCAACCTTATATAAACCTTTTACCTTTTAAGTATTTAACCTTTTACTTTTGGGAAAGCTTACTATACATTTTTACCTCTCATTTTTTATCTACATCCCCATCTCTTATCCGATTGGTGCCTGGGATTAGTTTTAACAATAATGTCACAAGTGAGCCACTAAATGTTTGATCTATATCTTACATCTTAGAGTATTGTATTTTCATTATTTTACACGTTACATGAATGTGAAATGTGAAACTAAATGTTTGATCTATATCTTACATCTTAGAGTATTGTATTTTCATTATTTTACACGTTACATGAATGTGAAATGTGAAATTTGATGCATGCCATCATCTTAATAAGGGGCACATAAAGAAATTATTTAAAAAAAATATTCTTGAAAATAAAATGATCAAAATACCCCTTGAAAGAAAAATATTCTTGAAAATAAAATGATCAAAATACCCTTAAAACTTTCAGAGATATTTTGGTTATTTTATTTATCATTTTTTTTTGGTTGGTGTGAGCCACTAAATGTTTGATCTATATCTTGCATCTTAGAGTATTTTCTTTTCATTTTTTTACACGTTACATGAATGTGAAATGTGAAATGTGAAATTTGATGCATGCCATCATCTTAATAAGGGGCACATAAAGAAATTATTTTAAAAAAATATTATTGAAAATAAAATGATCAAAATACTCTTGAAAGAAAAATATTCTTAAAAATAAAATGATCAAAATACCCCTAAAACTTTCAGAGATATTTTGGTTATTTTATTTATCATTTTTTTTTGGTTGGTGTGAGCTTAAAAGAGCATTGGATGACCCAATTTGGTGTTAATATAATTTATAGTAAAAATTAAAAATAAATCAGTTACGATTGGGGCCATCTCAGCCGTTTATTTAGATCGAGCAACTGGGAGACAATGGATGTAGGTAACACATATACGGTTGGATAAGCTTATCCTTTATTTTCATCCACCCCCAAGTAAGAAGGAAATTTTCAGAAACAAAATAACCCTAATGTATATAAGATAGTTTCTCTCTAAATACTGGAAATAAAAAATTATAGATAGAGACTATTAAAATCTAAGACTTTTATGAGAGAAACTATCTCAAGCTGTAATACTTTGAGAGGGAGAAACTATCTCAAACTTTAAAATGTTTTTAGAGAGAGAACCTATCTCAAAAGGATTAGAGATAGAATCTATATTAAAATTTTAGAAATAAATTTTTTTATATATTTTTTACTGAGGCATTGATGCAAAATTAAATAACATTGTAGTTAGTGATATGATTTAAAAAGTATGACAAAGTGGCATGCGCTGAAGGGGTATCTGTAATTTGGACGTGGTTAGCATGAGGGCCTAGCCCACACAAGTAGAAATGCAGCGCCTATTAAAAATCAATTTTTTAGATGGATTTTTTGACTTAATTTATAAGGACATATAATCTCTAAAATAAAAATATGAATAAACAAATAAAATTTTTAAAATAAAAATAATAATTTTATTAAGAAAATATTTAGACCGTTAATTTCCATTGTTTTTAGGTGAATCACCTACTTGTGTTTATCTTTAAGATGGATGCTTTACACATCAAGACTTTATACGTAGAAATGCATGAAACAATTTTCCCTTTAATTTTAAAAAATTTCTAAGTTATCGGCTGTATTATAAAAAACCAGCGATTATTATTTCGAGTAACTCGTGAGAATATCGGTAGTGCAGATTATCGACGAATTAATAGGAGGAGATATTCTGACACACTGAGCTTGTCAGGTGAATAAAGAAGGAACCCTTACATGGAAGTGAGGAGAAAAGCAAAATGACGTCAGTGCCCACCTTGTTATAGACAAATAACCAACTGACCCTGACCCATTTGTTCCTGCGTAAAAAGATTTGAGGAAGTACGAGCAAAATCTTTGCCACCCCACTCCACGTTACGCAATTTTAATCGCGTGCAGAGAGAGAGAGAAATACTCCCCACTCACATGCACACACGAGATGCATGCACTTCTAACACCCAAATAATCATCTCACTCTCTCTCTCTCTCTCTCTCTAAACAACAATTTTGTAAACGAAGTAAAGAATCAGCAGCTCTCCAATCTATAGACTTTTAAGGTAAACTAACTCTGTTTCTATCTCTCTCTCTCTCTCTCTCTCTCTCTCTCTCTACACAAAGGAAATTGTATCTCTATTTCTACATACAACAATTTACTCTCCCTCTCTACAAAGGAAATCCTCTCGCTGTACAGAAAGTTTGAAACTAAAGGAAATCAAATCTCCGTTCTACAAAAATATAACCCAATTCTTCACACCAGAAATAAGAAATGTCATCAATTGTCAACCACTAAAAATTACAAAAAAATTGGAAGAGAACCGCCAAAAAGAAAAGTTCATCTATAAGTTGTATATGAGTTTTACTATGATTTTTACAAGTAGAATAATAAACAAGAACCCAATTCTCCAATCCAATCTTTCCCCACCTTTTTTTTCTCCTTGTTTTCCCCTGATACTGTTTCTAAGTTTTCCTTTACATGAGGCTGGTATTGAGATCAAGCTTGGGCTTCTTTGTGTTAGGGCAAGGCACATGAGTGCCACACCTAGGACACTTAGGGTTCGCCCCTGATATCAGCACATAGAGCAAGCAACCAGGACACCCGGCCGCGAACATGGCCTGACTCGAAGGGCTTGGCCCGTCGGTCCCATTGAGGCCCATAGGCCTCTTTCCTGACTCTTTCCCAGCTCTTTCTAGAGCTGACTTCACTTTCTCTAGGGTGCAGACGCTCTGATAATCGATGGAGTTTGGTGAGGTCGATGTCGAGGAGGTAGAATGGAGGTCGAGCTTGAGGTCTAAGAGGCTGTCTTCTCCTCTTAGTAGAGGACTATTGCACTCAGTTGTGGCTGATGATTTTGTAGAGTTGGAGCAAGGGGGGAAGTTCAGGTCTTGGAGCTCTTTATAGGCCTTTTGCTTTTGTAGATAGATCTTCCCTGACTGCAAATACATTGGAGGTCCATGAATTAACTGTTCGAATTATAGAAAGGTAAAACTAAGCACAGATGTATCATGTACAATTAACACTGCCAGTACGGAGCGAGAGAGAGAGAGAGCGCTGTTAAGAGTCCAAAGAGGCCTCTATACAGATGTACCATACGCGCTGGACCACATGATTACATATGCCGTACCAAAAAAAAGTGTAAAGCATCCATGTTTAGGTGTTCCACCCAAACACAATGGAAACTAATGATCTAAATGATTTCTTAATAGAATTAATATTTTTAATTTTTAAAATTTACTTATTTTTTCATATTCATGACATCCATGGTAGAGATTACATGTCCTTAAAAATTAAGTCCCAAAATCCATCTCAAAAAATAGATTTATTAATACACCAGCATTTCTACATATGCAGGCTTCGCCACATAGAAACGGGGACCTTCGCAAATATGTAGAGAGAGAGAGTCAATTTTCAGTTTTTTTTTTGTTTCCTTCGCTAAAATGAAAATTTCAATAAACTCGGTAAATTTGGCTTTGAAGTCTTGGGTTTGGTGCACGTCTTAGGTTGGGGTAAGAAAGGAAAAGCACGAAACAAAGGACAGTGACAGTTATGCCCCGGAAAGAAAGGCCCCCCCCCCCCCCCCCCCAAAATAACCATAGTGCCCCTCGACAAGGACAATGGAAAATTACCATTATACCCCTCCACGACCTCAAAGTAAAATGACAAATTTGCCCCGCGCCACGGAGTAGCCAAATCCAAAAAAGCATTTACATGCAAAAATGACTATTATACCCCTAGAATAAATGAACATGGCTGAGGTTGAAATTTAAATTTCTAAAAGTTAAAAAAAATGTATTAATATTTGAAAATTCTCGATATGAGGCCATACAATAGTGTGATTAATGTACCATTTAGATAAGATCTATATGTCTATGAGTTTTTCAGAACCTTTTTGCAGTGCACCATACTTTTATTAGACAAGGTCGCTGCCGTATATAAAGTTTTTATTGTTTAATTGATTTGCGGCCTAAATTTCGTAAATAATGAAGAAAATGAATAGAATGGGGTCGATACTATCGCATAAATTTATGACAAATAAATGAATAATTAATATGTACCAAGAGATAAAGTTTTTATTGTTTAATTGATGTGTGGCTTAAATTTTGTAAATAATGACACATGGTGAAGAGAATAAATCGAATTTTGTAAATAACGATACATGGTGAAGAGAATAAATCGAATGGGGTCATTCCGCGTGTGGATTAGATGCATAAAATCGCATAAAATTATGACAAATAAATGAATAATTACTATGTGCCAAGAATTCATCCATATACAACGAACCAGCGTGAACCAAAGTAACTGTCAATTTTTTCTCATTACCAGGTATTTAAATTTTTTCCGTATTTCGTGTTAAGGAGTAAATTAGAAGATTTTAAAACCCTAAAAGTTTTATACTTGATAGTTGCAGGCGGATGTAAAACACATAATCGCACAAAAAATAATACTTAAAAAAAAAAAAAAAAAAACAGAGCAGAATTATGGAGTTCATAAAATAAAAATAACAAGGCATAAAATATGGATACTTATAAAATTTTGAGCAATGAAAAATGAACTCTGATAAATCTTACTAAAAGAAGTCCGGGAAAAATGGATATTGATGAAACAATAATTTAAAAGAAAACTTATTGCACAATTTTTCGAGAGGAAAATTAGTTAAGCGATAAAAAAGGTAGTGAACAATGTAGAAAAACATTTGGAAAGGCGAAGGGAGCTGCAGAGAAGAAGCAGAGAAGTAACAAAAAAAAAAAAAATACGGAAGAGGATAACTAAATTGCAGACGAAAACAGAAGAAAACATTATTTAATTAAGAAAATGGCTGAATAAATCAGTTATTGCTCAAGAAAAACTAGAAGGAAAGGAATTTCCAGGTGCAAAAATTTTTTTGAGAGATTTTTCACGCAACAAAATTGCAGGATAAAATAGAAGTATTTTTAAAGAGAAAAATAGAGTAAAAGGCCAAAAAATGCGAATAATGGCCGCAAACACCATAACATCCAAGAGAAATGCAAAAGAATTCGATTAAAGACAAAGTAAGCACCAGGAAAATGAGACATCAAGAAAAAAAGAAGTTCAAAGATTCGGAGAACAGAACAAATAAATTAGAGGGGAAAATATCAACGAAAAACAGTTTTCTATCAAGGATTATCATAAGATTTCAAAAGAATTATCATGAAAGGCTTCAAAAGCCATTTCTTAGATGAAGGAAAATCAGAGAATGAAAAAAAGAGAGAAAAAAAAAAAGGGCATTTTTTGAGAAAAGTACCTTCATATCAAGGCGCTTTTCCCAACCAGAAGGGACCTCGAGATCGAGGTCCAATTCCTTGGATCCAAGAAGATCTCTGGTTATCAAGACCTTCCCATCGTTTGTCTTAACCTGCTCGTCCTTATTGTTCAGGATCTGGAAGAGGGAGCTCACGTCGGCGGCCATTAAAGCAAGCTTGAAGTTGCAGAAGCTAATAAGTACCAGAAAAACCTAAGTCCACAAGGGATAGAGAAGGAAAATGGCCTCTAAATTCTAAACCTTCAATTGGAAGCAACAGTTTTGATCTAATCCTTAATACTGAAAAGATCTCCAATCAAGCAGGCGTCACAGTTAAGAACTAGTTATTGAAGCTTCAGAAACTGTCGCCAAAGCGAAATGAAACGGATTTCCAAGAACTTGCAAGGAAAAGATTTTCTGAATCCAATTATCTGAGTTTAGGGCCCAAAGATCGCAGTAACAGAGAACAGGGGAAGAGGAAGGGAGAGAAGGCTTCAACTGAAAAGGAGTTGCAGGCTAAAGCACGAAATCCGCCATTAACAACAACTTGAAGGACGGGAAAATTAGGTTCTCGAAAACGGGAACGTGACAAGTTGAGCCTCAGAGGGTTAGGGCTCTATAACTCGGAGATTAACGCGAGCAAGGGGGGGAGGGCATGGATTTATAGGGAGTTGGTGAGGGGATGATTAGGGTTTCGAAGAGGATTAATTGAATCCGTTTAGGTTTTAGGGTTTTAAAGGGCTTTGTCAGTAATAGCGGCATTAAAGAGAGCACAGCTGGTTTCAGAGGAAACTGCCTGTGACTATCCGTTCAAACTGTGCAAATAAAATCCATAAATGATATATATATGGAAAATGGTTTGATAGGGCTGCAGCCCTATCAAAATAATTAAAGCCTCACTTTATAACCTATTGAAAATTATAGTTGTAAAAATAAAAAAAATAAAAAAAATTTCAAGCTCTAAAAATATAGTTAATGTAACAAATTATCTAGACCGTCTATTTTGCTCGTAAAATAAGTGTTTATGCATATGTAAGATCTATATCACTTTTTGAGTTTTGAATTTCATTATCAGTGTTAGAAATTGATTTTATAGCCATCATGGAGATTTATGTTGCCGAAAGTGCTTTTTGGACAAGCATTTTTGGTGAGGCTTTATTTTGTTTTCATAAAGGTTAAACTTTATAGAAACCTACCCTATAAAGTTTTAGGGGTAATTTTGTTATTTTATTTAATAAATATTATTTTTTAATATTTTATTTTTGTACGACTTGATCATATGTACACACGCTCCAAATTTTAGATAAATTTGATTAGTAAAATAAATATAAAAATTCAACTACTACCAAACAACTGTGATCGTGTGATGAACTTTAGACGGTGATGATGTGTAGGTGAAGTATTTTAGAAGCTCGCCTATAGGCGTTTTGTAGATGTTTCCATATATATATAGTGAAGGCTCTAAACAATTAAAGTAGAGCCCACCTTCAAATAGTGTCTAGAAATGTGGTTTCAATATTGAAAATCTTTGATAACTTTAAAATATATTTTCATGTCTGATTATAAAATTTAAAGCTTAAAAAATAGTGTAAATCAAGTAGATATATGAAAACTTGAAAATCATGAAAATTGACAGTTTAAAATGCATTACAAGATACACTATTTCCAAAACTTGAATTCGATTTTTTTCTCATGTCTATGCATCTTGAAGTCGAGATGATCAATTTGAGGATATTTGGATATCAAAACAACCTCGTCTAGTGAAATTTTTGATGTGGGCTCTAATTTGATTGTTTAGAGCCTCAGCTCTATATAAACTTTTTCTAAATACGAATTTAATAGAATATTTTTATTTTCAAAATTAAAAAATGGGTGTAGTTTGTATAGAGCCTAGACTCTAAAGAATCAAATTAGAGCATACCTTCAAATAATATTGAGAAATGTGGTTTAAATACTGAAAATCTTTGTGATAGCCATAAAAAATATTATCATCTTTATTTATTAAGTTTGAAGCAAAAATAATAATGTAGATCGACATATCTATGAAAACTTGAAAATCTTGAAAAATGCGGGTCTAAAAATACGTTACAAAATACACTATTTCTAAAACTTGAAATCCATTTTTTTCTCATGTCCATACATCTTGTTGTTGAGATTGATCAATTTGAGGATATTTGAGCATGAAAACAACCTCTTCAAGTGAAATTTTTTAGGTAGGCTCTAATTTGATTGTTTAGAGCCTTGACTATATATAAACTTTTCCCTTTAAAGATAGGCTCGAGTTTATAATAAGTCCGACTTTTTCACAAGAAACATTAATTTAAAATGTATTCTTTTTCTACATTTTAGATTAGGAAAAATGTTTAATGTGAGGTGGAACCGCATTTCTATATATGCTGTCTAGAAGTGTAAAGCATCCATGTTAAAGATGAAAACAAGTAGATGGTCCATGTAAACACAATGGAAACTAACGGTCCAAATGTTTTTTTAATAGAATTACTATTTCTAGTTTGTAAAATTTATTTATATTCATGATCTCCATGCAAGAGATTGCATGTTCTTAAAAATTAAGTCCAAAAATCCATATCAAAAAGATTTTTTAAGAGGCATCGCATTTCTACATGTGCGGGCTTGGCCCGCATGCTAACTGGGTCCTTTAGATTAAGCTCTAATTTTGGGCTTCTACACCATTAACTATAACGTGGTTATAAAAATAACTAAAATATATTCAAATCAAATAAAAATAACCCTAAATTTAAAAGTTTTGAGAATATTTTTGTCAAGTTATTTATTTTAAGATATTCACATATTTAAGATGGTAAGAAATATCAACACTCAAATTTTGAGCTTAATTCAAGGTATAGTAAAAATAAACAAAAATTAAAGTACAATATATACTTTCAAAAGTGGGACTTGTGGTGCATCGTATAAGATCTCAACTTTAAACAATCCAAGTAAAGTGCTCTTACATAGCTTGTCGAATGATGTCATTTTGGTCTCAGAACTTTCAACAAAGACCTGAAAATCTATTTTATTTTTAATTATAAAATTTAAAACTAAAAAAATGATACAGATCGAGCATATCTACAAAGACTTGAAATCTTGAAAATGGACAATCTAGATAATATGTTACAAGACACATTGTGTTTTAGACTTGAAATTATTTTTCTACTTATATTAGTACATCTCAAGTTCGAGAAGATCAATTCAAGGTTTCGACACCTTACTTCTACAGTATAAGATCGACGCCTTATATATATTCTAGAGAGAAAAATAATTCGTTTTTCTAGAGATACATTAATAAAAGATAATTTGTAGTGTAATTTATAATTATTTAATGATGGGTGCGGTTTGTATAGAGCCTAGGCTCTAAAATATTAGAGCCTACCTTTATATAGTGTCGAAAAATGTAGTTTCAATACTTGAAATCTTTGTAATAGCCTTAAAATATATTTCTATCTCTATTTATAAAGTTTAAAGCTTTAAAAATAGTATAGATTAACAAATCTATGAAAACTAGAAAATATCTAAAATTGACGGTCCAAAAATGCATTACAAAATATACTATTTCCAAAACTTGAAACCCATTTTTTTGTCTTGTCCATGAATCTTGATGTGAGATGATCAAATTGAGGATATTTGAGCATCAAAACATCTTCTGGTGAAATTTTTGAGGTAGGCTTAAATTTGATTGTTTAGAGCCTCGGCTTTATAGAAACTTTTCCCTTTAATTATTGGCGTTCATTTTGGTGCTTTGGTAGAAAACTAATAACTAATGGGTTGTTTTGGGGAGAGTATAATTAATAATTGATTTAATTCTGATGCTATTTTTGGATAGTAATTGATAATCGTTCTTTTAATGAAGGGGACAGTAATTAAACAAAAATCTTTTTTGGGGGGATTTATTTTGGTGGCATCTTCATTCATTCATTGCGACTTGGTATATATTCGGGTTATCGCTTTTACTGACATTTATTTATTGTTTGTTAGTTATGGGCCTTATTTATTTTGCAATCTTTGTCACCGTAGGCTGAGAGTTGAGAATTTAATGTACTTTCCTTCTCAAGTGGTTTTATTGGGTTTCTCCCTCTACCATATCTCTTCTCTATCGGTGATAAAAAGTCGGAATCGGATTATCAAATATCCGGCCGATGCCGATTCAGTTCTCCACACATCTCTTATCTATCGGTGATAAAAAATTGGAATCGGATGATCAAATATCCGGCCGATGCCGATTCAGTTGGTCAAATGCGTGGCTCTTCAATCGAAATGACTGATAGATAAAAAATAAAATAATTTTGGCAATTAATAAATTTAAAAATAACTCTTTCAATTTTCAATCGAATCGATGATTTTTCAATCACTCTCCTTGTGCCCCTAGGTTTTTATTTCTAGGGGTGTTAGAACACACAACCTGGAAACAGAACTTGGCCACGGGCCTGGTGAACCGATCCAGGTAACTGGACCCAATCGGGGAGGTCCTAGCCATGCTAAAAAGGGTTAAAGTAATTCTAAAAAAAACTCAAAAAAATTCATATGAAAAGTATGTTTAAAGAATAATTAAACAAAGTACATCCAAATGAGATTTAAAAAGTAGTGAAAAAATGGATTTTGAAAAACCAATTTGTTTCCATGGATATTTTAAAGATAATCCAAAATAAAATAAAAAATGCAATAAAAAATATTTATGGCCAAAATACTTTTCAAAGTTTTCTAAAATATTATAAAACATTAAAAAAACTATTATAAATAATTTATTTTTTTTTCAAAATTTTTATCTTGTTTAATTCCTAGCTTGACCTAACCAGCCAGAATCGATTTAGGGTAAGCCAACTGGATCCGGGTTAACCTGCCGGTTTTGAGAACATTGATTTTCGCCTCCCCGCCCAATTCTTTTATTTATATTCTGTCTATCCTTGCCATCTACATTTTCTCTATCTAGACCTATTTCTAGTTATTGCTCCTTCCTTTTAAACACTTGCTGCTTTCCTTTTAAACAAATGTATAATTGATTAGATTCAAAGTTATAAAAAAAAGTTCTCAAACTTCGTGACACACTCATACCATCTAAGTTGGCATCTAATGGTTAAGAGTGATTGTGACTTCCCTATATCAATAGTAAATGGTCGAATCCTTTACAATATCTACATATATCTATATAATTTATCTTTCTTATTTTTAGACCTTGTCACGACCCACCAACGGGATCTGGTTCAAAGACCTAGACTTGACATGGGTCCGGATTGAGTCTGGGACCCAAACCTGACCTATTAACACCTGCAGTTAAATCAAATATTAAGTCTCACAATTTTGATATCCAAATTTCACGAGAAATTAGGAACTATACTTTTAAGAATCAATTTGAGTGTGAGAGAGCCACAAATTCACTAAGGATTGCCACTCGCAACATAGAGAGTTTAAAGAATTTAGGAGTGAAAAATAACAAAGAGACCATTTGCTTTTGGTCCAAGGATACAATCACTCTTGTCCATCAGATTTCAAATCGGGTGTTAATAAGAATATCACTTTTCGTACAACTTCTCTTTGGTCATAATCTCTCTTGCCACTTACAAGCGAGGTGATGGGAATCATAATATTCATCAAGGAGATAATGATTTGCATGAAGATTCAAGGTGAGCTTTTTACTTTGTTTTTCTGCTTTCCTTAGATACTGGTTCAGCCCTCTCTCTCTATATCTCCCTCTCACAATTCCTTTTTTTATCCCAATTTTTGAAATCCTTTTCTATAAACTCCCTATATTATTCTCTCATCCTTCTCTCTAGGTTATCTTGCTTTCCCTCTC